ATTAGTTTTATTATTGATTTCGATGAATTTACAATGCCTACCTCGCAAGTGTCCCATACACCATTGAGTGGAGTACTTTATCCGACATTGGGCCAGTACTCGATATAGCGCATGCAGCTAGTGTAAAACTTATTGGCATACAAGAACAATGATATCAGAATGATGTGAGAAATGAGACTAAATAAAGTGTTATGTTGGGGTCAGGCGAGGCGCATTAACAAACATTGTCACCAGGGGCTGAGTGTAGATTAGCTCATGTAGCGAGTTGTCACAGCTGTCAATCATTGTCGCGTGCCTCTGCTGTCACGTGAGGTATGGCGAACATCTGTTCCTCCAATCAATGAAAGGCCCGGCAAGTTGATGTCATACACACACTCGTTAGCTAACACAACATGTATTTATGGTGATGACATTTGATTTCCATTTCAGGAGGTTGCTTTTTGATGTAAGAATGGGTACTCAGGTGAGACGATATAGTTATACTGCTTTATCCACATTGACGACACGGAATACGCACCAACATCATCGTCGACACCTACATTACAATATAATGCTGCAAAAAAGTGGGTTCGTGTGAGACTGCCACAGTCAGGCTGGACCCTTGTCCCCTTTACAGTCAGGCTGGACCCTTGTCCCCTTTACAGTCAGGCTGGACCCTTGTCCCCTTTACAGTCAGGCTGGACCCTTGTCCCCTTTACAGTCAGGCTGGACCCTTGTCCCCTTTACAGTCAGGCTGGACCCTTGTCCCCTTTACAGTCAGGCTGGACCCTTGTCCCCAGCCAGGCTGGACCCTTGTCAGGCTGGACCTTTGTCCCCATTACAGTCAGGATGGACCCTTGTCCCTTTACAGTCAGGCTGGACCCTTGTCCCCTTTACAGTCAGGCTGGACCCTTGTCCCCTTACAGTCAGGCTGGACCGATGTCCCCTTTACAGTCAGCCGGGACCCTTGTCCCCTTTACAGTCAGACTGGACCCATGTCCCCTTTACAGTCAGCCGGGACCCTTGTCCCTTTACAGTCAGGCTGTGACCCTTGTCCCTTTCAGCCGTGACTTGTCGCCTTGAAAGTCAGACTAGACCCTTGTCCCCTTTGAAGTCAGGATGGACCCTTGTCCCATTACAGTGAGGCTGGACCCCTGTCCCATTTACAGTCAGGATGGACCCTTGTCCCCTTTCCAGTCAGGCTGGACCCTTTCCCATTTACAGTCCCCTTGTCCCATTTACAGTCAGGATGGACCCTTGTCCCATTACAGTCAGGACTGGACCCTTGTCCACTTGTCCGATTACAGTCAGGTCAGCTGGACCCTTGTCCCATTTACCCTTTAGTCAGGCTGGACCCTTGTCCCCTTTACAGTCAGGCTGGACCCTTGTCCCCTTTACAGTCAGGATGGACAGTCAGGCTGGACCCTTGTCCCTTTACAGCCAGGCTGGACCTTTGTCCCGGGATGGACCCTTTTCCCTTTACAGTCAGTCAGGCTGGACCCTTGTCCCATTTACAGTCAGGTCCCTGGACCCTTGTCCCTTTACAGTCAGGGACTGGACCCTTGTCCCGGGATTTACAGTCAGCCGGGACCATTGTCCCTTTACAGTCAGGCTGGACCCTTGTCCCATTTACAGTGGACCCTTGTCCCCTTTTAGTCAGGCTGGACCCTTGTCCCATTTACAGTCAGGCTGGACCCTTGTCCCTTTCAGGCTGGACCGATGTCCCTTTTACAGTCAGGCTGGACCCTTGTCCCAGGCTTTTCCCCTTGACAGTCAGGATGGACCCTTGTCCCAGTCACAGTCAGGATGGACCCTTGTCCCCTTTTACAGTCAGGATGGACCCTTGTCCATTTACAGTCAGGCTGGACCCTTGTCCCATTTACAGTCAGGCTGGACCCTTGTCCGACCAGTCCTTTTACAGTCAGCCTGGACCCTTGTCCCACAGTCAGGCTGGACCCTTGTCCCTTTGAAGTCAGCTCTGGATTACAGTCAGGATGGACCCTTGTCCCATTTACAGTCAGCCAGGACCCTTGTCCCCCGACAGTACAGTCCAGTCGGGACCCCTTTGTCCCTTTTACAGTCAGGCTGGACCCTTGTCCCCTTTACAGTCAGGCTGGACCCTTGTCCCATTTACAGTCAGGATGGACCCTTGTCCCTTTACAGTCAGGCTGGACCCTTGTCCCATTTACAGTCAGGATGGACACTTGTCCCTTTACAGTCAGGCTGGACCCTTGTCCCATTTACAGTCAGGATGGACCCTTGTCCCCTTTACAGTCAGGCTGGACCCTTGTCCCCTTTACAGTCAGCCTGGACCCTTGTCCCCTTTACAGTCAGGCTGGACCCTTGTCCCCTTTACAGTCAGGCTGGACCCTTGTCCCCTTTACAGTCAGGCTGGACCCTTGTCCCCTTTACAGTCAGGATGGACCCTTGTCCCCTTTACAGTCAGGCTGGACCCTTGTCCCCTTTACAGTCAGGCTGGACCCTTGTCCCCTTTACAGTCAGACGGGACCCTTCTGTCCTTTACAGTCTACACAAAACAGTGGTTGTCGGAGGAAAATGTTCAAGTTTTAGACTGGCCCAGTTACAGCCCAGATCTAAACCCAATTGAGAATGTGTGGAGACTAATGAAGGACAGAATAAACCAAAAAGGACTAACGAATATTGATCATATGAAGAAAGAAGTGGTCGAAAATTGGCTGTCACACGTTTCCTGCAACCTTTGATCGGTAGTGTACCTAGGCACATTCAGTCGTGTATTGCAGGGCAAGGAGGTCTCACAAAGTACTGAAAAGACACTTAGAATTAAGATAATCATATCTCAACATATTCATGTAAGTAAAACTTCTATAGTTTATATACATGAATTAGATATTTGCCGAAACAACTCTCTCAATAATTTCTGGGAATACTATACCCACCCTAAGGCGCCTGGAACAATAGGGTGCTGGACAGGACTGACATCCGATGTTCCATGATGTCGGCTAAGGCACCGGGAACAACAGGGCGCTGGACAGGACTGACATGATATGTTCCATGATGTCGGCTAAGGCGCCTGGAACAAAAGGGCGCTGGACAGGACTGACATGCGATGCTCCATGATGTCGGCTACAGATTCTGGATCGTACATGCATGGGCCTCTGTGTCAAACCTGCACGTGTATGCATGGCGGAAACGTTAATACACGGATTAAGCCACTTTATCAGGTCGATTACATTCACCGCCGCGTGGAAGATCGAACTCACATTGCCGGCTAATCTAGGTTAATCACGTTAACCAACGCATTTATCACGGGAACAGCTACACATAGGGAAACACGCACACGCACACACGCTCAGACACACACACACGCTCTCTCTCACACAAGAACACACATAGCCCTACACACATTGAGAAACTCAGTTAACTGTTCAGGGTCACAGCTTGAAAGTAAAAACTCCGCTGTAGAGATTCTTCTGAATGATACTGGCTGCGCGTCTGTCGACCACCGTCTGTGCTTGAACGACCCAACACGTCACCTACAACCACATCGATATTAGTTTTGTTATCAGAGTTTACCATGATACCACGTGGCATATAAGCCGATGTTCATTCAGATCTGGTCAAGTTGCTGGTCGCCTGTGATACCGAGGTTGTACAACACGTGACGACATGTCTCCCACTGAACTGTAGATAATCGGGGCTGTATTGATCTGGGTTACTTTGGGGATTTTTCTGCGCATTTGTTAATCTTAGAACTGAAACTATCGAAACAGGGATAATACCACTCAAACGACACCGGGCTTAATCACATTGCCCAGACACCTCACGATTGTTGATAAGGATTGTAAAACATGATGTCTGACTGACTGACTGAGTTTGGTTTTACGCCGCTTTTAGCAATATTCCAGCAACATCACGGCGGGGGACACCAGAAATGGGCTTCACAAAAACATGATGTCAATGGTGCTGACAATGCACATGCATGGATAGTATAGAAATACCATTGTCAGCCAAGCAGTAAGAAAAACACAAATGAAATGCCGAGATTAGAAAGAAAATGATGAGAAAGACGCAATAATCCGGTGCGCCTAGTGGCTGCAAGAGTTGTATGATCCCCAGGGCGTTGAGATTGATAATGTGAGTGCCGATGAGATTGACATCCAATGATCGAGGGAAAAAAAGTACCAGCACCTTGAGCATGTACTAGTTGCCTGGATATGTGCGCTATGGAAGTGAATGTTCAACATGGGTTCCACACAAGCACAGTCAGTTGCTCTTGTAACACCATCACCAAACTGCTGCAGCAGAACGACTAGTCACCACACCCACTGTAGGCGGATGTCATATATAGATATAGTAACAAGACTGTATATATTTTATTACCCAATATATGCAGTACTTGTTCTCAGAAAAAATACGTATCGTTTTTACAAACCCATATTCCGACATACCGGTAATAACGTGAAGTCATATGATGTATATTCGGGAAATACCAAATGCAACCTATCTTGATGGCTGAAGACGATCTTAAGCTGTTGGAAGATCTAGTTCATTATGATTTTCCTAACAGCGTAAACCAGAAATAACCATGTCACTCTCGGTAAATATCAAAATGAGCTCGCCAATCCGCGAGTGGAAATAGGAAATGAACCTTTGAGTATTGATAACACAATTAATACTTTAATACAGTTTAATTCAGAAAATATGTTTTTTCTATAATGAACAAAACTGTCAAGTCTATTGATAACTTCTTTTATTTGGTTTTGTACTCACAACATAAAATACGTTGTTATCAATAAATGTGTCAGTATTGTACTTTCCAACTTATACAGTGCCACTCAAAGACGTTATTGTAGAATAAACTGAGCCTTTATAAAGAAAGCAATTGGGGACCTCAAATATTTGTTTACCGAATGAATGGTGCGAGGTCGGGATCAGGATCGAACATACATGTGCCTAGCCTGCACCAGTCTCAAACAAGATTTCATAAACAATGTGGATTATGCCCCTTCCCCAAATCTCCACGCAGCGATATCTGACGCTTTTGCACCGTGTTTTCGAAGCACGTGGTGTTATGAGCTATCCGGAGAAAGTTACTTCCGGTGAAGTTGACAAGATGTCTCACAAGGAGCAGCAGATGCTGAAAGAGGAAGAGAGATCACTGGTCAACCTGCACACGAAACTCAGCGACCAGCTCAACAGACTCAAGGTGAGAAAAAGTACCATCTACAGTGACAGTCATGCATCCAGGTGTGCGTGGTTGCTAACGATTCGACCTTTCAAAATAATGGCTTATGCTTAAAAATAATTATTATTAGAATGATAAAAGTTGCGAAAGGTCCGAGACCTTAGACTAATGCTCAGTGTTCACGAATAGCGTCTGACCCTCTGACAAATCTGGCAGATTCGCCAACGGTCTGATAGAAGTCTAAAACCCACCGGCCCTGTGTCTGTCTGTATATTTCACAATGACTTTGACTGAAGTTGTTATATGTGACGTGACACTTGTTTGCTGTTTATAAATCTTATGTTTGTTAATAATTTCAATGCCAATATAAGAAATGTTCAATCTGAAATGTGTGTTTAATTTCATTCTATGGGTCCTGTGAATTTTCAATGGGTCAGACAGACATCTGAAACTTGCAGGACCCAATGTCCTGTTACTTTGAAACACCATTCGTGAACACTGTAATGCTTCGTCTCTGAATATACATTATTAATATTATATATTATATATATTATTTGATCGGTACAAATAAATTCCTTTATCATTTGAAAGGATACCCAGTGAGATGCAAAATTCTGAGCCTGAGTAAAATCTATGCTTCATTTTGGGTTTTTGCACCACATTTAGGGATGGGTCAAAGGGTATGTCACAGTGACAAGTAGCGATATTTCCATTAATTGAAATAAGTCACCAAATGATCAGCAATCGAGCACGTTTTCTCATGATGAACACAAACGATTCTTTTGTCTGTGTTATTAAATTTAGATTTCATAGCACTACCAGCTTGTCTTGATGGTAACATTTGCAGTTCAACTCATCGTCGGATAGAAAACCAGTGTTACTAGTTAAGCAAAGAGATAGGGAAGGTATCAAATTCTGCATTCAACAGATTTTCCCGAAAAATACATATTCATATCGTGTCCAGCTTACTTCATGTGTATTAGTATCGGGGACCGGACTATCGTGGCCTGATTGTATTAGTAAAAACTGCTGATTGATGTGACAAAATACCAGTCATAGCAAGTTCAGGGTGGTTAGAATTGTTTTAGTAGCATTCAGCGATACTAGGGTAAAGTATACATCATCAGTGTAAAAGAAAGTGTTTTTGTCTGAAACACACATACACTCACTCCCAATACACATAAAACACTGTATCTGGGAATGGGGTGGGATGAGGATTAGGGTACATTTAGTGTTGGAACCTGTTGGTATAAAGTCACAAGGGAACTGGTCAACAAATTCAGAACAAAATGACTGATTGTGTTGAACTATGTATGTATGCACTGCTGTTATGAAAAATATGCAAAAGCCAAGAAGCATTTAAGCAAACTAGTTCTTTGCTATCTGGCTTAATTATGGCTGATATCAAACTATATGATAATGGACTTGCAGCAGATCTAGCCACAGGATTATCATGCTCAAGCTGATCTATCCTCCCGTACGGTGTTTTCGAGCCCCTAAGACAAACAATGACAATCATGAGAAATGCTTTGGGATATGTCAATAATAGTTATCTTACTTTGAATTACATTTATTGAGCTGTTAAATTTGTTAGCGAAGGAGATGCGTCGTTTGTTTGCAGCAGAACATACCTCGAAGTTCAAAGTGACCTAGTTGATCGCCATGTTTTTGTGACGTCACCTCTTTTCGAGCCCCTCAATATTGTTGACGTATTCAACGCAGTGTCAGCCAGCTCGGGGTGATCTCAAAACTTGAAGCGGTCTTATGAATTCACAGTCATCCAAAATGTTCCAAGCGAGTATAAGTCTTTAAATTTCGCTATAATGATTAATGTAGCATATATGCACAATATAGCACTGTGACTTCGATCGTGAATATGATTTCACTGTTAGTTCTGGCAAATTGTCGCCTCACTGCCATAGCGTACATGCATTGTTATGACACAATGAGTTATGGGAACTAAGCATTAAATATTAAAACTTATGTACAGTTGTCACTTCATTCGACAGACAGGCTCTATTGCTCTGAATTTTCCGAATGACACGGACACCAGAATTCAGCTGTTGATCTCTGCAACGCGCACCTGTGTACAGTATTTGAGATGTACCCAGTGATCACAACTTCGGTGCGTACACTGAGCCCCACTTTGTGAATACAAGCGAGACACAATTTTGCAGTTCTTTCGGTTGAAACAATTTGCAAAGACAACACACTTCGTCATCACCCTCAGTGTAATAGTGTCTGTACCGCTGTCACTTGCGACAACCTCTCGTACATGAGACAATCCAGGCGTGCTTGGTTTGGCAGAGAGAGTTGAACGAACTTGTGATACTTTTTTTCTTCCGTGCAGACTGTTGCTTCCTCTTCTTGACTGGGTGTTTCTGAGTATGTTCTTGAATTTTGAACACTGTATTTTCTTCTGTGATGGCTTTACCACTGTGATAGAGCTGAGGACTTTCCACTTCAGTGTTGGTGCAGACTTGATTTTGTACAGAAGCGTCTTCCTTCTGTCTAAAAAGTGAGTCGTCGGCCCAGCGTTTTTCCTCGGATGTAATAAAACTGTAGAAGGTCTCAAGGCTTCCGCGAACCGACAGAATCGTCAAATGGAAATATTCCACATTTCTCAAGCGAGGACATCAAGTTTCTTGGAGAAAGAGCCAGCGTGTATGCTTTACAAACAACAGCACACATAGCGTTCTTATCTATGTTGGTGGTGACTTGTTCTCTCTTATCACGTGTGCTTCATGGAATTGTAGATCCTTTCTAGTGGCCGAAACAACCAACGTCAAGTGGTTGTAAAACATGAGAAGTGTGAGCTGGCAATACCATCAAGACAATGTTCCGAGATATGGCCCAGTCAATGATGGAGAGAGAAACATGAGAGCGGTGCCCGTCGTAAAGAAGGAGAATCGGCTGTGACGGATCTGACCTCTAAGCGTATTTCAGGAAGTGATCATTCAAATAAGTGGAAAATATTTCCATATTTGACCACCCTGAATCACTAGTTGTGGCATTTGTACCTGGGGTACATTCTTAAATACGAAGTAAGGAGGGATATGTTGTCCGAGAGCGTTCCCACAACCAATTAAAGTTGTTGTTGATGATCTTGGTGTAGTAACCGCGACACATCAATATTCAGAAGAAGACACCACTTTAGGAGGAGTATGGTTCTCAATCAACCCTTTTTCGTCAACATTATAGATGAATTGCGGCTTGTCAAATAAATCGTACTTCTCTGGCACGGCCCGAAGTTCGACGAAATATTTGAAATATTGACGTAGCCTTTGCTCTAGAAACTTTAGGAGAGTGGCTTGTCCAGCATGAGAGAAGGCCATCGGCTTCATAAATCCATAATACCAATGGAGAGAAAGGGATCATCTTTATTTACGTTTTCCCAGTTGAACAGCATACTGAGATGCCAGTGTAGTGACCTCCACCCTGGTTATCCGTGCCCACACTACTCATGAACTTTAGATGTTCAACAAGTCTAGACTCCTCTTCTAAACTAAGAATTGGTTCAGTCCCTGACTTAAGTGTTTCTGGATGGATCCTACCCTAGCACGATCTCTGAGAGTCGTCTCAGGTACAGAAAACTTCCCTAGCTGCAGTTTTGACAGGCACATTGTCTTCCACAGCGGCTAAATATGCCCTGGTCATAGCCTCTGGGTCATAAACCCTATACGACGGTCTTGAATTCTGCAATACACCGAAAAATTGGTTATAACACTTATAAGACGGCCCCTACTAGCGATCGCGATGCAAGTTAAAAATAACCAGCCGCATGATGTAAGTCATGTGATCCTGGCTGGAAGTTTACATTCTGCAGAGGCGGCATAGCTCGAAGTGATGTCAAATGTTTTCAGTGCAAAATGCAGCTTTAAACTTTAAAAAAAATATGCAGTGGGCAAAATAGTGACTTTTTGTCATGGGTTTACGTTTTTTTTATCTAACTTACCACCTGCAGCTTCACACGCCACATGATTACGTCCAAGACAACCTGACAACTTGTAACCTGCGTTCCGCTTTGAAGTGGCTACCTGGATGACGTCATCAAATAAATCCGCACGTGTATATTGGTGGCTCGAAATGAGGTGACGCTCGAAAAGAGGTAACGTGGGGATATATATAGCAAATGTATTTTGTAATAATGCTAATAATGACTTCCTGCCACAACACTACAGCACTCATGGCAGGGTTCATTGGTAGAAATACCCTTCATTCAACAGTGCACAAATAATGGAATGAACATTTCTTAATTATGTATTTTTATGGCAATGTATGTATTTTTATGGTAATGTATTAACACTCTGATCATACTGTGTATTTTTATATATTCCGCTTATAGTCTGTTTGCAGTGAAAACGTACCGACGAATTTCACTTTAAGCAAAAAAGTAAAGTAATATAGTGAAATTAAGATTGCGAATCCTCGTAAATTTACCTTGCCAATTGAAAATTCAAGTCTCAGAATTTTATTCAACTTACGATAAAAGTTGTTTTACAAACGATCATAGATTCAAATCGTTATGACTGGTTTGTATTACAATGGTGTAAGCGATTAGTTGGAACAGTGAAACAAATGTACGTGTGGTACGGAAATGTACGTAATACATCAGTATCACATGTGGGTAGTTTCGGTGAATTACAATTCAGGTATTTTTTCCCACGGTATTTGGCAACAATAAAGGATGCAAAAGAAAATTCTTCACGGTAAGTAACATAAGAGAAACATTAAAGATATCGTTATGAACACTATAACATTTTTTTAACTTAGTCATGCACTATAAGTAACGTAGGCACTGTTCTGGTGACGTAAACTTTACCCTAGTATGGTTGAAAATGCTGTGAAAAACTTCTAACCACACGTTCTCTGAGTTTTCTTTAGTAAACGTCGCGTGGTAAATTTATGGCGTAGATCAGCAGACCCGGAACCAGGCTGCATGAACCGTTCTGTCTGCCAGCGCTGCATGAACCGTTCTGTCTGCCAGCGCTTCCACAGCAGACCCAGAAACAGGCTGCATG